CCAAACCTCCTTTCCTCCCCTCCCCTCTTTATTGAAAGGTTTTAGTGAGCTGAGCACAGAAGCACTGACCCGCAAAACGTAAGCAATTTCCCCCCTCCCTCTCTCTCTGTTCACTTTTAGCATGGTGCCTCTCTCTCCCATCTCTGAAATACACACATACACACACGATGTCACATGACTGCTGGTCCCTCACCCCCCACTCTTCCCCAAGCCCTCCCCCTCTCAGTGGTGATGATATTAAACACAATGAGAGTCTTTAAGCGCGGGATAAGGGGCGGTGGGAGGGGGAGAAGGGGGTAATCTGCTCACTGAGGTGTTAAATAGGCACAACAATGCAGGCTAGGGTTGAGAAGTGTGTGTGTATGAAAAATGTGTGTGTGTCTGTGTGTGACCATGCTAAAAAGCTCATTTGGAGGAGAAAGGAAACCTAAGTTCAGAGCAGATCTAGGGCAGAACTAAACAGGCAGGCCAAAGCCCTACCCAAAGAAATCCCACCACCCCTGCAGACACAGACACACACAGAGACACGGACACACACACACACAAGCTGAGAGTCAAAATGCAAAACTTAAAAAGGTAAAAGCTATCTGGGTGTGAAACAGCACTAAAAACTACAAGGTGCTTTTATTCATAATGACATGGTGTCATAAATTTTATTGATCCCTGAGGGGGAGTTACATAATAAAAGCAATTTCAATATAATGGGGGGGGGGGCGCGCAACAGGTGACATCTACTCGCATTATGAAATTCTGTCCTACAGCATTTGGATAGATTTGACATCAACCTTTAGCTACTGCATTTTCAATTATACCCTACAACTTCTAAGAACTGTATGAGTGGCCAAAAATAACCTTTTATATAAGTGCATTAGTGAAAACCAAGCAATTAGCATATCTCTTGAAATTATATAAATTAAATATGTATAATTACTGTGTGTGTGTGTGTGTGTGTGTGTGTGTGTGTGTATGTGTGTGTGTAAATTTGTATTTGACTGTGTTTAGGAGCAGTTTACTTACTCACAGCTATCTATTAGCTAGAAGAACAAAGCAAATTTCCCGTAAACCTAAATTATCCCTCAAACAAAAGTAAGACAATAGAGTAGCTCACCAGAGCAGTAAACATTGCTGCAGAAAGAGGAAGTACTTACTGTGCTGGGCTCTCGCTCTGTTGTCATTGGAAAAGCGTGTGTGTGGTTGAGGTCACGGGGGGTTTACCAGAGCAGAAAAAAAACAAACAGATGAGGGAAGAAGAATGAGTTCAAAATGTCTTTACAACTAAGAATCTGATGTTCAGAGTAAATTGACTCAGAGTCTGAGAATGACATGATAAGCAGGTAAAAAACAAACAAAAAAAGACTTCATTGCAACACAATTCATACATAAACAACCCCTTTCTATCAGAAGTGTTTCTGTGCTGGAAGGTGCGTCTCCTTACCTCTCAGGTGTTCAGGTCCTGCAGGGTGAGAGTCTTGTCCAGACATGTGAGGTTTTTTCTCACCACTCTCTTTTCCTGCCAGATGAGGAGGAACAGCTCCGAGTGCTCCTGACAGAGCCAGAAGACTAGCTGAACCACCCAGCTGAGAAGGATGGAGGCCAGCAGGGTGAGGAGTGAGGGGCACAGGAGCACCACCATGGTTATGGGACAAGTGCTGCTGCTTTAAGAAAGAGAAGGGAAGGGGAAAAAAACAGAAGGAGAACGAGGTGGTTAAAAACATTTTTTAAAAAGTGACCTGCTACAAAGAAGTACCAGTCAATTTTTATTTAGTCTGTGGTATACACAGCTGGACCTGTAACAGCCACACAGATGAATAAAAATCAGTTTAAAAGAACCACACCTATGTGGGTATGACCTAATTCAGCAGTTGTGATGTAGTGTAATACATTACAATCCTGGCTAAAACCAAAAACAAACAAACTAAAAAACAGAGAAGTTGAGTTCAACGAGGAGTCTCAAATTTCATAATACAACTACCATAAATGTTTAAAGCATCAGTATCTGACACCAAAAACCCAACATAAAAGCAAGCCAAAAACAGCTAAAACTTAACAATGCTCTGTAACCTAATCAAAAGAGACTTCTGTCCCTATTAAAGTCTTCAACAGATGGGACAGTTTCTCCACTGTCTGGGGTTTACACCACCTCAACAAGCTGCTGCGCTCTACAAGGTGGTGAACACAGCCTCTCCCCCCTACACACATCCTCCTCCCTCTAAGGTCAAACACTGAACAATACTGACAGCTGGGATCACAGCCCAAACCCTGAGGATGTGGAGGGGGTAGGAGGGAGGAATGACGAGAGCCCCAGCTGCTGCTTGCACTGTCAGATCTTGTGAGGGAGTGAGGCGACTGAGCAGAGAGGGGAGGAGAGAAGGAGAGAAGAGGGTCAGAGAGACAGAGAGAGAGGGAGAGCCAGTTTGGCTGGCAGCCCTGCTCTCTCTTTCACACCAAATCAGGCGCTCGTCTGAGCGTGAAATGCCTTTGTGTTCCAAAACATCATTATTGCCTCCTCAGACAGTAGCTGCGGGAATCCAAGCTCACTGATTCGCCGCAGGGAGGGGAGGAGGAAGGAGGGAGAGAAGAAGAGAAGGTGGGGCACAGGAGGCGACTCGGCGGGGGTGGAAGCAGTGCTGAAGGTCAAACCGACTTTTATCTCACCTAATTGACGCACCCACCCCACCCCCATCTCACTTTGGAGCCCCCGCCTCCTTTTACCTCTCCATCTATCCTTTGCTCCCCGCATCCTCCCCCAAAGAATGGAGGTAAAACAACAAAACAGTCTTTTAGCATCAACCCCCATGCCTGCCTGCGCACACACACTCAATTTCCAGAGTTAGCTCGCCTGCCAAACAATCAAACATAAACACACCCACACGTCACACTTGATCACACTTAACATGCATACGCATAGTCTAGATAAACAAGGCAGGCACACACATCCTCACTCAACCATCCTACCTCTGCCTGTTGTTTTCTGGGGATAACAGAAAAGCATGCTCTGCTACACACAAACGCACACACACAAACAGATGCAAAGCACACACACGCACGCACACGGATACACAAACAGGACCCCTGATGGGAGTAAATGGAGGGGAAGTATTGGTAGAGGCAAGGGGAGCCTGGTTTGTCATGGGATGTTAGTGTGAACTGGTGTGTCTGCGTGCATTTGTGTGTGTGTGTGTGAAGTTGGGGGCAACATGCTTCATTACGCTCATTTAACTCACAAACGGGGTGAATGACAGGCTGGCGTGGGAGACGAGAGGAGATGGGAAGGGGGAGGGGTCTAAGGGCAACGCTGTGACCCCCCCTTTTACAAACACAAAAATCCTGCAATTAAGACTCAAACAGCAACTGCCAAATCCACCTCTCACACCAATCAGACACTAACAGAGACCCCCATCAGTTCACGCCAACTAACAAGCCCACCCCACATCACACCAAGCCCTCTCCAGACCCCTCCTCTTTCCCACATTCCCCTTGAACCAAAACCCATAGCGTCTCCTCCAGCCAGTCAAGCCCCTATGGCTCCTATAAGTCCAAGTAATAATGGTTCTCTAATCCCACCCAAAGAGTCATCACCACCAACAGCTAAACTCTCCATCTCCGTTTTGCGTTGAGCATCACTGTCAAACCTCAAGGAAAAAACTACTTTTTACTCTTAGTGTGACAAATCATTTTCTACTTAAGTATGAATAGCTGGTCATGCCCCATCAGTCTTCCAAGTCTGTCAACATCTTTTCAATAAACACCTTTCATAATTCCTGAAGCATATCCTCTTTGTCAACTTACTCATAACGAAAGAGTCCAGTTCTATCAATCAAAATCAAAACCATAGTCTCAAAAGAGAAAACATATTTGCACAAGGGTTAATTTTCTTTCATTTCCCATAAAAATCTCTCATACGCCCTACATCTAATTCTACAGTCTAAGTCCAGTGTTGGCTTATATCCTTAAGTTAAGTCTGGTGACAAAGGAATAAGGAATCTCATTTAAAAAACACAGTCTCAGGTATATTCCTAAAACTTTATATAGATATCTGTTATGATTTGGTAGCAGTTCTCAGGGTTTTAACTGAAATGAGAAGAGAGAAAAAAAAAGACAAGACAGGTGACCGAAATAAGGACTTTTACCTTGTGTTTGACTTTGACCCATTTGTGTTTGAGTAAACAGTAAGATGTGTATTTACAATCCATTTTTACTATGTAAACAGAACAAATTGTTTCTTCAAATAGAACACAGACCTTTGATGACACAACAAGACTGTGGAAAACGTGGCTTCTATGTTAATCATTAAATGGTGCATATGCAATGTATTAGGTAATTTGCTATACTAATGTCCATGTCCTTATTATGGTTGACCCCTAGGCAGCTACTAACACTAGTCATACTTACTATGTTAACTGCACACAAAGAACAACAAGAACAAACAAAGAAGATTACTGTGGTACCCAACAACAACCTGAGAACTGAAGTAATTTTATTACCAGAGCAAAATCTGTGTTCCAAACTTGTTTGTGTAGGGAAAGAAATATTTCCTATGGAGTAAACACACACACTGCGATAGTTAATGCAAAGAGAAATTAAAGGAATACACACTGTAGGTGGAAGACCGGGCAGTCCACGTACCCCGATGACAGCATTGAGCTCTGCCATGGTCACCTGTTTGGCTCGCTCCACAGCCTGAACCACCTGCTGCTGATGCTGTAAAACAAAGATGCACAAACGTTTGCCAAAGCCTGAGAGTAATGGCAGATTTACCAGTAAAATTAGAGTGTATAAATGGGATACAAAGCACAGTCTGTAGCTCTAAGTCACGCATACTTACCTCCTGTGAGAGGAAGGGAATGACTTGCGCACAGATGGTGTTTAGTCTCTTGGCAATCTCAGTCTGATGAAGTAAGAGACACACACAGATAGAAAGAGACTTAATTGTTGATAACATAATTACATTCATTTAGAAAAGACATCTGTTCAGTAACACCAATAAAGCAATAAACGTGCACACACACACACACACACAAGAAAGTGATGCCACCACAGCAAGCAAGCAAAATACCCCACCAAAAAAACCCTACCAGACAATGATACCAATGACACTCATCGACTTCTCTCCACACAGAAATCCAGTGTGTGCCATTTTCAGCACACACAGTGTAATGAGATTTTCCTCTCTAATTATAATTGTGGGCTCAGCTCAGGTTTCTCTCTTACCCGTTTTATTTCTTTTGCTCCCTCTCCGTCTGTCCTCTGTGTTCTTGTCCCTCTTCCCATCAGCACTTCAACATAATCTCATCAACTACTAACTTGGTTTGCTCTCCCTCGGTATCCATGCCAACACATCCGCCTGCCCCTTAAACCCCCGGAGGTGGTTACAATTGGCTGAAACCAGATACCCCCGTGGTGGCATCAAATCAGATAAGGGGACTCATATTACATATCATCCAATCAAATTGATACGAGGACGACCAGAGTGAAATGGGAATTGGGGCCCATGAAAGGTAGTAATGGCTCAGACGACACACACATAAATATATAGATACATAGAAACATGCATCATATCACCCTGTATTATTGTTGGGTGAATACTCAGGAAAAATGCGATGGTTGTCGTCACCGAAACAACAAATGGTTTTATGGAAACTTTTCAAAACTCGGCCAAAATTAAGTCATCAAGCTAGAAAGAAATGTAATATCCCACAGCACAAAGCAAACACCTGTGTGGGTTTAACTAACCCAAAAATGACTTCCCTTGCTATGCAACTGATATATGTCCTGTTAACCCACTTTACAGTAATAGCAAACAAGTAACTGTTCAAGAATTCATTGCCCTAATCTCCCATCTATATATAATTAATTTAACCTGACAGTCTGCTATTGTTTACAAATTAGAAATTTGAAGAAATGGCCACAAAGTCAGGGGATTAAAGCTATTACAGATCATCCAGAGAGTGATGGTAAAGCTAACATAGGCAAAACCTTTTTTAACCTGTCACTGAACAAAAATTCAACACTAATCTATGAGTAAAGTGTAATCAAAATGGTCCGAGAGGAAACCTGACTTCTGCATGTTCTCTTGGCTGTTTTAAAACTGTGAAAAATGCAGAGAGGAAGACTTTGGGAAAACGCCGATATTTTTAAGAATAAAGGAGCTCCTGTTGGCTGTTCTACAAATGCAGATGTACATGAATGTCCCTTCAGATGGAAACCCTGATTGAGTCATGGGAAATCCCACTGGGAAACTTGCTCTTCAATCACTGGCATGAACTGGCCGCAACAAAAAGGAAGATGGTCTTGTCAAACAAAGAGTCTAAAAGGGAGACAACCAATAAACACATTAAAGCATGGTGTATGTTTCTTTTACAAGTTGGAGGATCGCTCATTAGGTAAAGGGGAGTGTTAGTAACGTTGCACACCTAGCTAATGGCATGGTAAGTTCCCAGACATCAGCAACTGTTTGAAGGAGACATCAATATAGAATATGTTATAGAGTTTTATTACCCAATGAAGGTACATCACAGCACAACCGTTTTGGAAGCATGACTGTCTGTTAAAACTTCATCTCAGTCCTTCCACTAGTCACTGAGATATTTCAGCTTGGGCTAAAGTCCAAAGGCTGACAGGCGCTGCCATCTCTAAAACTTTAAAACCATGGCGTTGCTGCTGTAAATTATTTAATGATTTTAATGGGTCTGACAGCTCCTGAAAAACTGAAGTGGAGACGTCCTCTTTAGCTGGAGCATACTTGCGCTCAATTAGATGTCTCTGTCACGCACACACCTGTCAGCTCGCCAAACAGCCACAGTTCAGCCAATTATGTACTTGGATGAGCTAAATCAAGTGCTACCGTTTCACAATGAGTCTTGAACTACACACATAACTGCTTCAAAAATAATAGTACTTTCAGTTATATTTATAAAAATTATTAATATATTTATAAAGTAACACAACATACATCTTGACATGTCAACAAATGATACTCCCCAGACAAATTTAAATAGGGTGGTTGAATAAATACTCCACGTAAAAGTAAGCAAAGTCAGAACAAATAGACGTAAGTATATATGGAACAGCTTCCCTCTGAGAAAACTAAACACTGAACAACTGACTCTTTAACCAGAATCAAAAGACATGTTAAGCCTTCAGAGTACGCATACCTCCGTGTCATAACTACATGAGCTCAGCAGCCTTGCCACAGTTTTAACATTGCTGTCTGTGTATGTGCACCTGATGGCTACAGCACACTTTCGACAAATAAGAAAGGGGGATCTTAAAAACCTGTATTCTGTCCGGTTTTAAAGTTTCAGACTTTCCTGTACTGCCAAAGTATGCCAAAAATAACCAAGTCATTCCATACCAAGAAATCTTGAAATAAAAAGCTATTTCGGGCATACTATGTATATCCATTCTAAGAATTCTGAGTTGTAAGCCTATAATTAGCTTTGTATACAGGATCATTAGGCTGCCTGAGAATAGTGTGACCAGATACTAGGCCAACCCAGCAAACCTAAGTCGAGAGACAAAGTCAAATGCTCAAATTTCCCAGGCTGCAGCCAAGACTTACAAGTTCATGGTGTTGGCTTCAAAAGTCTCTCCTCTTGAACAGGGTGACGTTATAGTTTATCTAACTGAATTATATTTGCTTGTGGGAAAAAGCTGCAAAAAGTTTTCAGGCAGCAGCTCAGGTGCTAACCAATCAAATTATGTTATGCAAATGTCCTGAGAGAGCAGAATGAAGATGGAGTACCCTGTCATTCATCTGAACTTTAGCAATAATCTCCAGAAAACAAACTAGACTTCTATCAGTGGAGGAACAAAGACTGTTTTGTGATTTTTGGCTATATTTATGATGAAAATGATCAAGTTAGAAGCAACAAAACATGTTTCTTTTTCCTCTGCTTGGTGCCCAGCCTTTGTATAGGTGGTACAGAGGAAGGAAAATAAAGTATTGTTGTGTGCACTAAAGGAAAAAGCAATGTGACTGTGATATTACTAAATGTAAATGTCAAAACTGAAAGCTGAATATCCACCCAGTAACCAAATATTAGTGTCCAGCTCAACCAGTTCTCTTGTATATGCTTACATTTAGACCCAACCAGCTACACTAAGCTCATAACTGCTAATCAAAGCTTTCTTTGCTTGCTTTGTGATTTTACACAATATGATCTGTTGTTACTCTACTACGCCTCTCCCCCAACATTGAGACATGTCTAATGTCAAGCATAAAAAAGTAAAGAAAATCCACAAAAACTCACAGCCTGTGCATCCAAACCCTTAAATTAACATTTCTATATAGTGAATGAATCGAACAATGACTCATAACTGAGACAGTGGGTGAACAGAAGTTGAGGATGCAGAGAAAAGATGCAAGCATACACAGAAAATGTGCGAACAGAGAAGCAGCTTCCCATTACACATATAATTGGAGCATTATGCACCCCCCACAAACGTACATCCTCAGCAGGAGGTGAGTTGTTAGTCTATATCCTCCATACCCCCACCCACCCACAGAAGCTTGTTGCTCTGACAACTGCAGTCCCAAGCTAATGACCTCCCCTGGAGCTTTAGTGAGTGTAACTGTGTGTTTATGTGTGTGTGTGGACAATAGGAAGAGATGCATCTCCCTTACAATGAAAGAGCAGTAGCTTCACATGGACATAAAATGAAAGAGGAGCCAAAGAAGGGGGAATTTGGGGTGGGGGGCGGTTTGTAGCGAAAAGGAAGAAGAGATCCCATAACTATTATTGCAGAGCAGAGGAAGGCAGAAAGAAAAGAAGAGGACTTGGGGTATAAAAAGGGAGAATAACACAAGAGGAGAAGGAAGGGGAAGGAGTGTGAGAGAGGCGGAGAAGTATCCCCACTCTTCACTGAAGCATCCAGCCAATCCACCTCCAATTTCCTCTGGTCTGACTGGTCGATAGCTGTGGTAATTACTGGTAAACGCTCTGAGCCCTGCACCACTCCTGTGGGGAAATGTGTGTTTGTGTGTAGCGAGAGGGTGAATTTTTCCCCTGCTCATCATCCATATGTCTACACACCTAAAAGGAGAAAATTTTTAACTTTCACTTTCTGTGTACATGTGTATATGCATCAACAAGTTCTGTGCTTGAGTTCACTCTACCGTCTGTGAACTGAAACTGTCACTATCCTCGCGTTTTTGCATACATTACTTAGGGCTATGCAAAGTGCCCTTGCCTTTCTGCATGTGCATGTACACTGATTGGGTAATTGCCCTTGTTATTGTGCGCTTCATGTTTGAGTCTGCCTCGTTACTGTGTTAACCTCCCAACTTCAAAAAAGGGAGAGCTCCACTGTATCTCCTCCGTCTGCCTCACCGTGATCGATTCCTCTGCCCTCACCAGCCCTACCCCTCTAATGTAATAAAGCAGGCCGCTCCCCTAGACAGCACCAATCAATCTACAGAGCCATTCATCCTGCCTCTGGGCTCAGCCGGCCGGCCCTAACTGGGGAAATGGAGACAGAGCCCCATCGATCACAAATAAACACACATCCACACACACATATACAAGCATACAGTAAAAGAGAGAGAGACACATACACAAATGCACTCATGCACACACAAGGACACGTCAACAGGCCCACACTCCACATACATCAAAATCCATCCATGAGAGGAAGAGAGATAAACAAGAGGACCAACAGAGTAGACGAGCAGCCATACCTGTTTGTGCATTTCAATGTTGAGGCCATACGACATCTCATAGTACTGGGGGAGGGGAGGGAGGCAAAGAGTGAGAGGGTTAGAGGGGTGAAACAAATCCTAAACTCCTGAAAGAAAAAGCCTGAATAACTTAATAATTAGCTACACTGTAGATGTCTTTGAGGATATTTGCAGATCTTTTTAAATGAAGTGTTCCACAAAGAGGTCAAACTACTTTGAAAGTCAAAACATGCAAGTCAAATGCTTTTTAACTTGAACATGAGGCAATGAAACATGCTCGCAAACAATCTGAACTGAACAGCATTCGTGTCCATGTTATGTTTGTTTCTGTGCTAGATTAGAAGCTTTTGACACACAGCCACATTGCTTTGTGTAAAAGAGGTAAAACTTCAGTGATTAAAGGTGAAAAGTAAGCTCTCGTGTATATTTTATTTTCTGAAACAGTGAAACACATTTTAAATCAACGTGAAAAGTTGTAACAGCACAGCATCTTTACACAGTAAAAGCAGGTGACACTTGCATGTTGCTCTTCCTCTTCCCTTCATTTAGTATTTAACAATACATATATTTTGTATTACGAGTCTTCCGATAGGAATTTGTATTCTGCTTTATAAGATACGGACAACTTTCTCCTCTAGGAAACTTTAGAACTCAGGCATGTGATATGTGACCCTGCAGGGCAAATGAATTGAGTATAGGGAGCTCACCATGACGTAGTGCCTCTGCATCTCTGTTTTTTCACTGGCCAGCTTCTCACACTCCAGTTTGAGACTTTAAAAAAAAACAACAAGAAAAACAATACACCCTTTACTTTGAGTGGGACTCAACATTTCAAGTTAAACTAATCAGTTTTCATTCTTTCTCTCACCCCTCTTGCTTGATGATTTAAACACCCTCTAAAACAGACCATGGAGATGTTTTCAAAAGAATTGGTGCAAAAATGGAAAACACGATGACTGTTCCCATCAAATAATGGGTATACGTTTATGACAATCCTCTTCTTTGAATATGTAAATCAGAAACATTATGTCTGCAGGTCTAGCTTTCACCTGTTGTGAATAACCCACCCTGACAACATCTAGAGCAAAGTTAAAAAAAAACAAAAACAAAAAAAACAAAACACTCTGCTCACATGCAGTACTTAAGCAAGCCTTTTCCCTACACAGCTACACACACAGGGGAAAATAAGGCGTGATTTATGAAACCCTAAGCCCACACGCCACCCCTCTGGCTTTCACCCATCAAGAAGATGTAGACCTACCGCAGTGCAAGCGCTAACACTGATGCCTGCTTGCATATGTGTGCACTTTTGTATGTGTACGTGAACCTAATCCAGGTTTATGGGTTAGTCTGAAGCCAGGGTTGAGGTTTTGTTCATTATGGTTATGAGGATGACTGTGGTTAGGGTGAAGTTTAGTGTTGGGAGGGCAGATGACAATAGAGGAAAATGTGAATCGAGTGTTTGTGTTATCCACCTGTGGTACTGTGCCTGAAGAAACTGAAACTCCTCCTTGATGCGGTCCAGTGACTCTGGGATGGTGAACTTGAAGGGCTGGCCTGGAGCCTGGTGGGGCGTCTGGCGCGTGCGCGCGCGCACACACACACACACAGACGGATTACCAACATCACACTGGTACATTACTTACACATTATTGACTACATTATGAATATGATACTTTTCAGCACAAATACAATATCAACAACTTCTAAATATTAGTCGTTATTTAAAAAAAAAACAAAAAGCTAAAACGGAGTATAATCAATCCCACTGTAGAGCCCAATTAGTTAGAAGACTGAGCTTAATATAAACACACAGGCAGCCCGGAGGGGCGGGTCATATAACGAGGTAATGTTACCCGGTTGAGCCCGGTGAAATGAGCGTCTGTTAATGCACAAAGAGCGTCTTACCGGGTGTCGCCCCTGGGGAAACATTGTTATCTCCGGGAGGATGAAACCGTTTCTTTCTTAAAACCCCGTCAAAGTGGGATCAAATGGGGATGAAAAGTAAGGTTGTGGGAAGCTCCCAATCACGGAGAGGAATCCATCCGCCGTTGTTATTAGGACCCCCGGTCGTTAATTACAAAAAAAAGCACCGCTTGTCCGCTTCGTCTGGGTTCACCGACCGTTTAACGTGAATTTCCGCTTCTCCCTGTCTCTCGGTCGTCTGTCCCCCGCTCCACAGGCAGCGCGACCGTAAATCAACCGGAAAAACACGGGAAACGGCTCATTAGTTGAAAGCAGCTGAAGGGGGAGGGAAGAGAAGGGCAGGAGAGCCAGGTGAGAAATGAAAAAAATAGGGCTGGAGCCACCTTCGCCACTCCGGCGTTTGTTTTGTGTGCGAACTGATGTATTCCGAGTACGGAGGGTCGACCAAACAAACAAACAAGATAAAATCAACCCCGTAGATCCTCAACAGACAGCCGCAAACTGCCGGCGCTCAGTCAGAGCATCAGAAACAAATCCACACAAGTTAATTGCAGAGAAGAGTTCCCACTTGACTCGCCGCGGTCGCTGGCTGGCGGTTGAACGGTCAACAAATACAGAAATATTTACTTCCTCGATCAGTGTGGAAGCAAGCCTTGCCTTCAAAATAGATTTCTCGTTTTTAAGACAAAAAATAAAAAACGAGGAAATATGTCGTTAATTTTGATAACAACAACTCCCACAGCGGCGGGAACTGTTCACGGTCCTGCTCTGCTTTACCTCAATGGCAACTTTCTCACGCGGTTTCACGCTCACCCAGCTAACCGAAACTATAGGCCAGCCCACAAAACGCCTCCAAACCAATCAAAGTCTCCGCTCCACGTGGGGATAATAATGTGGGTTATGAAACTGGCCAATGGTCTCTCTGCAAAGTTCCTCGATTCTGTTGACCTCGTTGAGCTACGCAGATTTTCTCCAATCAGCGCGTCGCAAGGAGCTGCCACTTCGGAAGCGCGCAGGGCGGGCAGTGCGGTGGGGAAAAAGGCAAGTCTCAGCTGTCAATCAAAGTAACGTGGGTTCCAAGAGCAGAGCTGTAAATGTGCGCGTCCACACATACACACACACGCACACATTAACAAGCACACGCAGGCACACACACAAACAGAAAAACACAAATATTGTTTTTCTTAGCTGCCGTGAACCTTCCCAGCAAGTGTCGTGACAAATAACCCCAAATCTCTCTCTTCCTCTGCTTTCTCTCCCCCTCTATGTAATAATTTTCAGCGTGGGAATTGATTTAGTAGGACTTGAACGTGCTTTATGTTCTGCTTCTCCTAAAAAAAAATTAATTATGCTGCTCATCTGTTGCAGTTTATTGCTATTTTCATACAGTCAGTCTACAGAGATCGCTCAGTTTGCCTCATCATGTTTCCTTCGCTGGCCAAGGACAAATCCAAAACTCCTTACTTGTACTGTGATGTCTTTATATCTCTTCAAAAACGTAGCTCGGCATTGTGCAAATGCGATTTTGACCCAAAGAAAGCAGAAAAATGCCAGGGGGGTTCCCGATTCGTTGTAATAAAGCTCACAGAATGGTATTTTATTATACCAGCAGTGAAAGCCAGACTGAAGCAGCTGTAAATAAAGACACACTAACAAGTGAGCAGCACACACAAAGAAAAAAAGCAGATAACAAGTCAGAGTAGCTGCTAAAGTAATGAATACAAAAATATAAATGATAAAGAGGCTTTTATTGAAAATGTGTGAAGAGATATGACTTGCCACCTTCATCAAAAACGAAGACCATATCTCTTGCACATAAAAGTTTCAGCAATGTTTTTAAAATAAACATGTCACCATTTATTGCTCTCCTAACCAACATGCACAAGTTATAGCTCCATTCCCAATAAAGGCTATTGCTAAGTTACACTCATTTTTGAGTGTTTTTGTGCCAGCTACCTGATGAAATACTGCATGGCTAAAGTCACCACGTTGTGACTGGCGAGGGGTGTTTGAAGCTGAGTCATAAAGGAGGCTTGCGGGATCTTCTCTACTCCTCTTATCCCATCTACGCACTGCTCACTTCACATTGGATGGCCCCTCAGAGACACACTGGCCCGTGATTGGCTTGGAAACCTCAACCCCCTGACCCACGTGACCTCTGACCTCTATGGCGGCTGATCCAGTCCATATGAGAGACTCCTGACTGTGACCAACAGTGACCTTTTTTTGCAGGTCTCACACATGCACAGACACGCAGGTGCTGTGGAGTGGGTGGTACGGTTACAAAGGCTTGCATGGCAGCTACACATTTGTGTGGGTGCTTAAACGCATTTTGTCTTTTATAAGTGTTGGTTCACATTCGTGTTAACCTTTGCTGCCTGTGACCCACACCCTCACCCCACCCCCGGTCCCTCTAAAATGAACAACCAGGATTTCCTTGAAGTGCAACTCAGCCACACTGTTTGGAATTCACAGGCAAATTTTGTGCTGCATCAACCTAATGGTTGGACCTTTTCATTTAGGCTGTTTATATTAATTTATTCATTTTGGCTGTATGCGGGTGGCTTCTGGAGCTACAGTTAATCACAGTTACTGCCTATGAATATATGGCAAATTTCCACTAAAGAAAATCATCCTGAGTGTGTGTAATTTCTGAAATTTACAGCATGTTTTTAGAATCTTGGCTAGTTATCTGTTTGCTGCATAATGTTTTGTTTTTTATTGTTTTCCCTTCTTAAACCTCTCTACGGTGCACTGAATTATGCACATTGCTACACTTTTATGGCCCCAGTTCCCCCATCTTCTCTTCTGTTCTTCTCAAATGCTTCAAGGCTTAATGTCATCATTTTTTTTTTGCCATTAGTGCAGATTCAGTTGTTCAGAATCAAGTGCAGTGTTGGCCTTATTGAGTATACCTGAAACGTAATCTAAAATTTAGATCAATAACTTGTCCATACTGTGTGATAAGTTCCTACGAAAAAGAGGTACAATCCCAGTTCTGCAAAGTTGTGATGTGGTGAAAAATGTAGAAATAAATAAATAAATAAATAATCTCATAAACACATACTTTATTTACACATCAAATCTTCTTTTTTTTTTTAAAGTATTGAATTGAATTCGGTGGCAGCAACATGTCTCAAAAGTTGGAGTACTGCCACATTTACACCTGTGTAGTATCCCCTCCTCTTTACCACTCAGTAAGTGTCTGGGAACTGTGGAGACCAGCGACTGCCCCCCTTTAGAGCAATGTCATCCCATTTCCTGGGTCTTCTTTATCATATTTTCCATTTTATGATCTGCCAATTTCTTTTAGTTGTTGGAAGGAGTGGGCCGCAAGCAATCCAGTTCAGCATCTGGACTCTTCTACTAAAAAGTCATGCTATTGTAAAATAGATGGAACATGCAGTTTAGCATTGTCTTGCTGAGGTATGCAAGGTCTTCCAAGAAAAAGGTGTCATCTTTTAGGATACGTTGTCTAAAGCCTCTGTATACCTTTCAGCATTGATGCCTTTCCAGATGTGGAAGCTGCCAGTTCCATTCCCTATTATATCGCCATAGCATCAGAGACTTTTGAACTGCAGACTTTTGAACTGAGTGCTGCAAACCAGATGGTCCCTGTCCTCTTTAGCCCAGAGGATGCAGCGTCCATGTTTTCCCAAGAGAATTTCGATTCATCTGATCACAAAACAGTTTTCCACTCTCCTCTGTCCATTTTAAATGAGCTTTGGCCCAGAGAAGACAGCAGCAGCATTTCAGGATCATGTTCACATATGACTTCTTCAGTGATTTGCATGACAGAATCATCCCTGTTTTTAACACAATGTTGCCCAAGGGCCCAAAAATCAAGAGCATCCCAACTTTTGTGAAGCATGTTGCTGCCATCAAATTATATTTGAGCTATTATTTTTCATAAAATAGTAAAAATGTAAATATTTGATGTTTTTCATGTTCTTATGTGGATAAAAAATATGGTTCAGTGCAAATCACTGCATTCTATTTTGATCTACTCCGAATCCCAACCTTTTCAAAACTGGGGTTGTAATCATTAACATTTTTAGTGCTCTATTAGTTCTACAAACACAGCAAAACAAGAAGAAGCACAAGGCAATATGCTCCTTTTTTCCTTACCTTAACTCACCTCAATGCAAAGATCCTAACAGCCCATCAAGTAATAGTTAAGAGGTCACACACCAGTCAAAACTAAACCTTTTTAATACACAACACAACATCTATAGTTAAACTCTACATTATACTAATAAAGATCCATATTTTCTGTTGGTGTCTTTTTTGCACTTTAGTGTTTTATTTAACACTATAGTTTGAATATGCTAATCATCCAGTATCCCCACATAAACAGGATGATTAGCATTTTATTATTACTTTATGAGAGATTTGCATTTGAGGTTATAGACACAACACCCCACAAAGTGTTGAGTAATGATGAAAGTGATGAGTGAGACAAATTGCTTCTACCTAATGTTAACCACAGGTTACTGGGGAAAAAAAGTAAAAATACAGAAAAACACATGTCCTGTATAATAGAACGCCCTGCATTTTACGTCAATATGAAATTTAAATGTGCACTAAAATGTGTTTTAGAATAGATGGAATAGAATAGTCCTTTATTGCTGTTGTACATGTAGAATTATAATTTTAGACTTGTAATAATAAACTGTTGTTTTTGAGTCACCAATGCTGCATTTTTTCTTAAAAGAAACACTGGCGGTTTTTAAATACAGTTCAGTTTAATTTAAATTACATGGCATCAACTCAGAAGGACAGTTTCCTCAAGGTACTCTAATGTAGAAACCTCCATATCGTGCACTTGGCGAAAGTAGGAAGGAAGAACTGCCTTTTAACAGGAAGATGCAACCAGAGAGGGGCAGCTATGTGCTGTGATTGGTTACGGGGTGAAGGGAAATATAAGAAAAATAGAAAGCATGAGGAGATAAGGACACATCACAAATTATGTTAGAAGTAAAACACGGAAAGTGAAAAGAGTAGCGTGGAGAAGAAATGCTCAGTGCAGCAGGGGAAGTCCCCCAACACCCTACTTGGCTCGATTCGACTCAAATCTACTCTACCCAGTTTCCATCATTTTCCATTACAACTAAGTATCACCTCAATGTGGGTGGGGTCATTACAGAAAGACTGCCAGAAAGTATGTTCACATTTTTGTATACAACACAAACACAGCACAACGAACCAATGGTATACCTGCTGCTCGGTCTATGGCTTTCTGTCAGACTCAGGGTAAAAGAAGAGAACCGGAAAAGAGTGAAGTCAGCAAGACAAAACACTCCAGACCACAGTGTTGGTTTGTGTGTTGCCATTTCCCTCAGTTTCAAAAATCACAGGCTTTATTCTTGTGAAGGAGTTGCTCTCATGACTAATCCAGGGACATCACTTCCTGGCCAATCAATGACATGCAGTCTGTTAACGTCACATTTTTGGTTCAACTCACCTTGCTTGGAAACCCATAAGTAATAAAACCTGTTATTACGGGTAGAGTCTGACCCAAGTTTGTACTATTGAAAAAGAGGCATAATAGATAAGTCAGTTGATCTAGCTCTAACTATAAGCTTTACCAAAAATGGTTTGACCTTAACCCCAAAAGTAGATAGGATGTCTTCTTATTTATATATATTAAATTTATAGTGCTGTTTTAAATCTGCGCCATAACAGCCCCCAGCTATTGTGATCGGCCGCTGTGTGTACCCGCTGTGCGTGTTCAGCTACTTTTTCACTTCAGTTTTTGAATTTATCAGTGCGATGATAACAGTCATCACCTCAATATAAGTACTCAAAGACGTCAGAAAATCTC